ACATAACAAGTCAAATTTTTAAGCTACAAAATTATATACCTTTTCCTCTGGCATAGTTTGATCACCAGGTTCCTGTAAAAATTCCTTGTCCATAAAGGTCATACTCTTTGTAAAGGATATATTCTTTAAGACGATTGGGTAGCGGGAGAAACGACATGAAAACAGGGCAGCGCAAATGTAAACGACCCATGCACTTGCGGATCTTGAGGCGGCACAGATGTTTCAGAGAGCGAGGGTTTGCTGAAATGAAGGAGACACTATTTGGAAGGCAAAAGAACTGCTTTCTTAGTGATCTTAGAGTTAGTTCAGTTAGCAAATGTATTTGCTGTTTAACCCCATGATTTGTACTCCTTGGGAGCATCGGTTTTCATCCCGACTCTTGGTGCAGATTTGGATCAGAGCCATATGAACTTTGAATCTAAAGACATATCTGTTGTGGGTCTGGCCCACAAGGCACAAAGTCCTTCAGTTCTGTTAGTGTCCCGTCCAGTCCCTCACAGGCGAGCTCAAAGGTAAAGATCACCCGGAGGAAATGAGATGAAAAATTATTTTCTTATGAGCTACTTTGGCAAAAATTGGTTTGGAGAACCTTCCATAAACTTAGAACTTGTGCTTTTCTTAACTGTTTTTATTGTCATTCATAGTGTTGAATTCCTGTGTCTACTGTTGCTGTATAGCTATGGTTTAAGTGGATTGAGAAGAATGCATTACCTGCCTACATAGTAAATACCTAGCACACTTTGATCTACTAGAAAATAGCAATAATTATTAATTAAATTATGAACAGCAACATTCTGTTTTTTGGTTTTTTTTCTGATTTCTTTGGGTCAGGCTTTTTCCAGAACAGGGTTCTGAACAACAGGTAAGAACAGAGTTAGCACGCCTGTGTGATCCCAGCCCTGGGGAGGCTGAAAATAGGAGGATCCCTACGAGTCTGAGCTGTGTAGTGAGACCCTGTACCAAATATGTGAATAAAAGATAAATAAAAACCACAATTAGGATTTTGTAAGTTTTCCACAAGAAAGCTACTTACTCAGGATGAAATGTATTTCTGGCCAGAGCCCCTGTTTCTGGAGCACGGCTTTCAGTTTCGAACAGATCCGAACTTGATCGACGTAATCAAGCATCACTCGAACAACCTTTCCAGACAGATGTTGCAGCCACGATAACGTTATCACCTCACAGAACTGAGGGAGGAAAAATCAGTAAATGAATCGCAGTCGTTTCCTGTGACAGTGGTGGTGAACCTCTGGCACACATACTGTAGAGGGCAGTTATCAGCAACACCTCACAGGTTCACCACCACTGATTCGTAAGTTAGCCTAATAATCAACATTAGACTGAAGGTCAAGAACCCAAATCAGGAGTTTGTCATCTGGTTTTTAGACCAGACATTTGGAAAAAGGTTAATACTGTGTCTTCAGGAACACAAAAGATGTAATGAAGGTATGACATTCATTTTATCTGTAACCTCTGGTCCGTCACCAGCCTGTAGCAAAGAGTTCCTTCCCAGCTTCACTTGCAGCTATGTGTGGTCACATTCTGACTGCATTCTAGCCAGTGAGGTATGTCCAAGTCTGAGGAAGTCTCCACTATCCTTCAGGAAGCAAGGTGTGTGGTGCTTCCTCCTGCCTGCCTTCCAGCTAGCTGGACTGTGGATGTGAATTCATTATTCAGTCCTGTCTGTCCAATTCAATATCTCTGTACTTCTGGCCTTTATATGAGCGAGAGTGGAATGAGCCATTTTGTTTGTGGTTTGAGGCAGTCTTACTATGTTGACCAGGCTGGTCTCCTGTGTGTGGGCTCAAGTCTATCCACCTCACCTTGTCTAGTACAGGTGTGCCATAGTGCTTTGCTGCTGTCCTTTTTTTGGTACAGGGTCTCACTATGCAGCCCAGACTCATAGTGATCCTCCTGTTTCCAGCCTCTCCAGGGCTGGGATTATAGGTGTGTGCCGCCTTGCCCAGACTCGGTGCCCCCATGGGCGGGACTGGCATGGCCTGTGCTGCTGGGAGTCGAACTCTGGTCCCTGCACTTGCCTAAGCAGGTGCTTAGTCTGCTGCGCTATCTCACCCACCCTTGGTTGCTGTCTTGTTATAGCTTTTCTTTTCTTTTAAATTTTAGTACAGGGTGTTCAGGGACTTTGTGATCCTCCTGTTTTGCAGCCTCGGAAGTGCTGGGATTACAGGCATGACGACCACGCCCAGTCTCAATCACCTTCTCATCTCACCCTGGATGGGCCGGCACGCTGGATATCAGCACGCTGCGGATCAAAGCCCGGCCACTGCATTCTGGCTAAGCACATGCTTTAGTCCACTGAGCTGGCTGGCTGGCCCTTCACTTTTGTTTTTTAAAAAATGTTCTCAATCCTACCCAGATACATATGAGGGATGTTATGCCTTTAAGAAATTTACATGTGCTTCCCAACATTCCCAGATGAATGTTCAAGTAATACTATGAATTATGAAATAATACCTCATGATAAACGTATGCCTGAATGCCAGGTTACTGATGCAGAAAGCAAATCCTGTATTAATCAGCTAAAAGTAGTAAGTCATATGATATAAAAGTATTTTGCTTTTCACTTGAGAGTTGATTGAAAGTGCTTCCCTCCAATTCACTATTTCATTTATATTTTTAAATGTTGATACTATGAGTTGTGTTTACAGAGCATCTAGTTTTTGCTAAGTACAAACCTATAAGCGCCAAGGATGGCTCAGCGGCACAGCACTTGCTTGGCAAGTGCAAGGTCCTGAGTTTGATTCCCAGTACAAAGACTAAAATACACAAACTGTAAGCTGAGGAACATGATGAACAATAGCTCATGTGTACCTGTGTGTGAGATAAATTAAAACAGTAAAGAGATAATTCCAGAAAGACATAAATATTATAAAATGATCTGCTTGATGAAAATGGTCAGGCAAGGGAAGGGCCTTCTTGAGATGCCACTTGAAATATGACATGAAGAGTGGCAGCCATTTGAAAACAGTAAAAATTCACATTGAGGAAAACAAGTGACCAAGTAGGTAAGGAAAAACTAAGGGGTTAATGTGTAAAAAAAAAATTTTTTTTTTTTTTTTGTGTCTTAGTAGAGTCTCACTATATTGTTCGGACTCATAGTGATCCTCCTGTTTTCAGCCTCCCAAGCGCTGAGATTACAGGCATATGCCACCACACTTAGTCTAAAGATGTCTTTTTTTAAAAAAATTTTGAGACAGGGTTTCATTATGTAGCCCAGGCTGGCCTCAGACTCACTACAATCCTCCTGCCTCAGCCTCCTAAGGTCTGGGAATACAGGTGTGTGCCACCCCCGCCAGCTAAAAATATAAGGCGGAACAGGGCCGACTATTGTGATTCTTTTTTCATTAGAAAGGTAAATAAAGGGCCAGTGAGATAGCTCAGCGGTCTAAAGCACCTGCTTAAGCAAGCGCAGGGACTGCAGTTCGATCCCTGGCACCACATGCTGAACCAGCCCTGCCCCCAGGATGGGTGGAGCCAGCCACACACAAAAAATGAGTAAAGATGATTTAATAAAACGTTAAGATAGCATTGGGCAAGGACATAGTAGCATAGCACCTGCCTGGCAATTGTAAGGTCATGAGTTAGATTTCCAGTACCAAGAAAAAGACTGACAGCGCTTTAAAAAATGTAAGAGGGGGCTGGAGAGATGGCTCAGTGGTCTAAAGCACCTACTTAGAACAAGCTTAGCAAAGCACAGGGACCGCGGTTCAATCCCCCAGCACCACATGCCAGCCAGCCCCACCCCCTGGTGGACTGAGCTGGACACACACACACACACAAAATAAATAAATGTTAAAAATAAATAAAATGTTTCCTTAAAAAAAAATGTAAGAGGGCCTGGGGAGATAGCTCAGTAGAATAAGCGCTTGCCTGGCAAGTGCAGGGTCCTGAGTTCAATCCTCAGTACTACAAAAAAAAAAAAAAAACCTTAAGAGATAAGGGTATTGGGAATCCAGGAATTTAGCTTGTTATCTCACGAAAGTATAATTGGAACATAAAATTATGGGTTTTTTTTTTCTTTCATTAAAACATTGCTCAAAATTTTCAAAAGAGATCCGCGCAGATCCATGCTCAAAACAGTATGGTTCATAATAACTAGCTCTGTCGCTACCATCAGTAAGTGCGTGGATAAAGAACGTTCGGGGGCTCTTCACAGCATACTGCATGCTGTTAGTTCATGCTCTGTGGACTTGAAGCAAGATGAGAGCAGGAAGCTCCGCAGTACAACTTAGCAACTGATGAGAGCCTTTCTCCGCAAGACATTTTTCTAAAACCTAGAATGTAGTTTAGCACTAAGATCTTGGGTTTAATTTCCAGATGGAAAAAAACTACAAAAAGTGCTATATTTTCAGTCATAAAAAGATTAAATTGATGTCATTAAAACATTGCTCAGGTTTTGCTGTATTTGTGAATCTCCTTGACATTTCCTAGTTGTCACTTTCTCATCTGAATTGTTTGTATATTTTTATATGTGTCTACTATTACATTTATCATGTTACAATGACCTTATGAGTCTCTTCAACATGAGCTGCTTTTTTTTATGACCTTCTGAAGAGTGGACAGGATTTTGCTATGGCTCTAATACTATAATCAACATCTGGTAATCAAGGTAATGCAGCCAATACTATGGGCTTACCATAGTATCTTTAATAACTGTAGATGTCCAGCCTTCAAAAGCATATAAAGGCTGAACTTTGTCCGCATGAGGACAATCAAAACATCGCTCTGTGTCATACCCATAATTCAACAGCATCCTGAGCATGACTTCATCTTTCAATGTGTACTGCAGTGCCGATGGGAAGTGCAAGGGGTTCACTCTGCAGAAGTAATTGACGTTGGCCCCGTGCCTCAGCAGGAGACTTATGAGCTGGTAGTTGCCCATCCTCAGAGCTATCTGCAGGCAGTTGACAGGGTCTTGGTTAGGCAGAGCGCCAGCATTCAGAAGCAGTTTAACTGAAGAGAGGTCACCATTTGATACAGCAAAATACAGAGCTGACTTCCTTTGGTCGTCATAGTGCTTACGAATTCTCTGGCTGAGCATGAAGTTCACATCAAATCCAGCCTGGATAAGAAGCTCCAGGCATTGGGGGTGCGCGCCTGCTGCTGCGCAGTGCACCGGACTGATTCCACTCTGCTTAATGGCAGCACGGTCCGTAACTGGAACTAACATCTTCAGAGCTCTGCGGAAGAATTTTAGAAGTTTGTTAAGGGGCAGGGTTAACAATATGATCCTTCTGTGGATGATACTGGTGTTAGTATTTTGAAACCAACCAACAACAAAAACTATTTCCTGCATCCCTAAGTTCAGATTGCAAGTAAATTTGAAGGGAACTACTGTCTAGGTTAAAAACTCAGAATTAACACAGTCATGTGAGACCTAAGGACGTGTTAATGAAAGCTTCGTCTTCAGTGGCTACTGTGTGGCCTTACCGCTTCCAGCTGCTCACAAGTTTCTTCACAAAGGAAGTGGGTTGTTGGGCCAGAAAGAATGTAAAGTTTCTAGAAGCTGCTGCCCCTAGAGCCGCTAGTATTTCTATTTGCAAAATGTGATTGAACTTACAATAAGTGACCTCTGTCAGCTGCCACGTGAATGGGCAGGTGGCCTGAAATCTTAGGGATGTTGGCATTAGCTCCATACTCGAGCAAGAGAGTCACAGCGTCTGGATTTCCTCCTCTAGCAGCTTCAAGTAAGATGGAAGAAGAATCAGAGGCCTGACTGTGAGCGTTAGCACCTGAGGAGAAAGAGTCTCGTCATACGAAAATTATTTTCCACTGTGTTGCTTGAACAGTCTTTAAAAATCCACCACCACCACCACCACCAAAAAGCAGTTTCTGAGCAGCTACACTAGCAAAGCACTAAGAATCAAAAGTAGGGACTGGAGATTAGCCCAGCAGTAGAACACTTGCCTAGCAAGCTGGAAGCCGTGGGTTCTGTCCTTGACATGAAAAACAAAAAATAAGCCTCGACTGAAAAAAAGGCCTGGGGAGATTTAGAGGTCTAAGTTCCTTCCTGGCAAGCACAAGGACCCAAGTTCAACCCCTGGAATGGGCGTGGTGGCGCACGCCTGTAATCCGAGCACTGGGGAGGCTGAGACAGGTGGATCACTATGAGTCTGAGCTGTATAGCAAGACCCTGTACCAATAAATAGTAAAAAAAGAAAAGAAAAAAATCAAAAGTAAAATACTTGCTTCTCTCAGACTTAAAACTAGTTAGGGAGGGAAAAAATGCTAGCAGTTTCCTATAAATTATTTGAACTTGAAAATAACAAATACTTTTAGAAAGGATAGCTTTATTTCTAGACCAGCCTCTAAAAGCTCATTTGACCCCATGTGCTTATAGTAGGGCACTAAAAATTATCTTACCATGCCAACTACTGATACTGTTTTGGTGGAAAAAGGCATTTGCTGTGTTTTAACATGTTCTTAAGGGGTTATTCATAGTAAAACACTATGCAAATTGTTTTTAAGGTTAGTAGCTGCTGACGGCTAAAAGGTAGATTGTAGTACATGTCCACTAAGTATCATGTGAATAGTGTAGACAGATCAAATGTAAGGAGGGGTGGCACATTTGTAATCCCAGCAACTCGGAGCTTGCAGGAGGGCAACAAAGTCAGGCTCAATCCGAGTGGCTTAGTGAGTCTCCATCTCAAACATAAAATTAAAAATGGGGTGGGGTGTAGCTAGGTCCAAAGGCCCTGGGCACAGCCTGTCACCCCATCTAGCTTGCCCGCTGCCCAAAAGCGTTTCCCTGTTTGAAGAGAAAGCACCAGTGTGTTAACTATTTCACCGATAACTTTAGGCATTTCTTTTGCAGTTTATTTGACATATCTTACTAAAATGTTTTAGGACATTAATTGGAAATGAACATCCGCTATACGATAAGAGAGATTTAGATGTTTACAAGGGATTAGGTGCTTAGATAAAAGAGAACCCTTCCTCTCAGATACAGAAGAGGATCCTGTATTGTTAAATAAAGCCTCCAGACATAGGTGAACAGGGAAGATTCCAACATTGGAACTTTTATTAAACCTTGATAAAAGTTTTTCTTTAAAAAAAAAAACTATGGATACATTGCTATCGGTGGAGTTGTCCTCAAAATAAATGATAAAGTTTTCTGAACCAAGGATCCTTTCCAGTTTACCCAGGATCTGAAATGGCCCCAGCTACAGCACAGGCTGGGGGCGGAGGTGGTGTTCTGACAGGAAGTCCTGCACCTGGCACCACCTCTACGTTTTTAAGAGCAAAGTAAGGTTAATGCTGCCTCGTGGAATTTTTTTTTTAAATATTTATTTATTTTTATTTATTACATTTATTTA